CTGTAAGCCGGCGCCTGCTGACTGTCAGAATGCATGAACAGTGATTGGCTGCAGTCACTGATCGGCAGACAACTTTCCACCCACCTCCTTCAATTTCCATGTAGAAAATAGTAAGTCCCTCTGCACTCCTCACAGCGCTCCCGGCCCAAGTACTTGTAGTGGTGCTCGCAGTGACAATCAGCCTATTGGCTGTATTGATATAGACTGACTTGTTACATTGTCGCCCTGATGAAGGGATCCTGTGCGGTCCAGAAACATCCCTATTATGTACATGACCATTGGTCCGATTAAATGGGCATCAAAGATATTTACTGAGTGCTGGTGATTTCTGCTTTCCACTTTCCTTCAATTTCCAGACAGGGCCACCCACAGAGTGAATTTTGGCCGATTCACCAAGAACCAGCTAAAATGTGCTCTGTGTATGTCCAGCTTAAGCTGTCTTTGGGTCTGTTGAGAAATTTGTGATTCAGTGATCTTAAATGAATTACATATAGAATCACTGAATCCTGAACTCTGCCCTTCTAGCCAACCTTCTTGTCGTGAAAAGGCATACAGCTTATCTTATAAGGTTCAAAAGAAACGCAAACGTGTCTTGTTTTTAAATAGCAGGACTCATGAAGTGTTAATGGCTGCACATAAAAAATGTTTTGTAAAAAAGGGATATTCAAATCAATTACATTCACTAACTTTGGATTCACCTGAATACTGCCATTCAGATCTGTCTGTTCTGAGTAAAATCACAGAATTCAGAAGTGACATAATAGTCTGCAGACTAGACAGACCTGCACGCATATAATCAGAAGAATACAGAAAAAGTGATGTATCTATTACTACCTGGTAACGTTTATGGAATACCGTACCTCTATTTATAATTTCAAAATGCATTACATGTTATGAACACTAGAGGGCAGCATTGTTATTCATACTGACTTTGATACTTCGGTTAAAGTGGACTTTTTTCCAAAAAATCAAATTCTACCAAGGCATCCCTCTATGTATGTATGTAGTCCCATAGAGGAGGACGGGGGCTGCATACTAATCACACGCAGCACCTGTCCTTCACCAGAGCCCCCCGATACGGCCGTGCACGCAGCACAGAGCTGTACGTGCCGGCTGTTTCTCATGTGAATGAGGCCTTAATGAAAATAAAATATGTATCCATCTACTCAGAATACCATCACTAACCTATTCTGCTGTTGTCACAGGAAGTTAAATGGCTCCATTATAGTGAATGTATTCCAGCCTAATAAGAGTTTGCCATCATTATGACAAACAGAGGAAGCCACAGATTGTGCGCTTGACTATATTCTTCAAGCTAAATTTAAATGTAGAATCTATCTGATCAGCAGATGTGTGTTTGCTCAGTTGATAAGGTTTATTCTGCTGCAAAATGGAACATTTATAAATTATATTTACAATTATTACACAATTTGCCTTAAAAACTTAAATTTTCACTGTTTACACTAATGGTGAATGGGAGGACACGGCAAATAACCACATAATGTGTTTTAGGAGAACAATTTCCAACTGCGATGAAGAATCTGAATTTCCAGTCTTGAGTTATTAGAAGTGTGCTGGCTTACATGTGAAAATTCTAATAATGAAAAGGCCTTATAATAAACCAAGTCTGAATATTTAGCTTCTCACACCAACCTGGTCCGTAGCGGTTCTCTGAAGCAATGCACCGCAAGCTCAATGTACCTCTCAATCCATAGGAAAACAATTACACTTGTCTGAGTTCTTGGCATACTGTGGAACTACAAGGCTCAGCCTTCTGTACCAGTTTAACTAGAGGATCAAAGGTTGTACACAACTCTGTCTGACGTAAAAGATTCTGACATCCTGTGAGCTCACAAGCAAGTCAAAATAATGCAAAAATAATCTTACAACAAATGCCACGGCACCATTACTAATGCCCGTCTTGTCAGGGGCGTCCCGAGGCTGGGTGACACCCAGAGTGGTAACCGAGTGTCACCCCGCCGAGACGCCACTGCGCATGCGCGTGACGTCACCACGCGTATGCGCGATGACGTCATCGCACACACGCGGCAGTATTCTGATACCTGCCAGCGGCCATCTTGGTGATGGGCGCCGGCAGAGAGAGGGCACAGTTACCCGGCGGGATAAGGAATGCCGCCGGGTGCCCTCCTCTCTCCTGATACTGTCGGGCGTTCGGTCCATGACCGAGCGCCCAACTTTTCAGAGGGGGGTGACACCAAAATGACTGCGAGTCATTTTGATATCACCCCTCCAATGGTGTCACCCGGGTGCGGGCCGCACCCCCCTTGTGACACCACTGTGTCTTGTGTACGTACCATACAGGAAAGGTGATATATACTACATTTAATCTGACCTGCAAATCTAATGCCTCTCCTGGGATTTTGAAGGTGCTTGCAGACTGGTGCTTGAGATACAGTTCCCAATACAGCAGGGTTGAACAAATGAATGCAGAATTCAGGAACGAGTCAGTACAATGTAAAACCCTGCTTCAGCATGTAGAGCAGAAGTAGGTGAACTTCGACCCTCCAGCTGTGGTGCATCTAGAAATCCCATGAGGCATTGCAAGCCTGGCAGCCACGGACAAGACCCCCAGAGGCAGATACATAATGGGAATTGTAGTGTCACCACAGCTGGAGGGCCGGAGTTTGCCTACCTGATGTAGACAATAATCTAAAGAGTAGAGCATACAGGAAGCTTTTATTAAGGATTTGTTTTACAGTACATCTTCAGTGAAGTGCTGGCTGTGACTATAAACAAGCTGCTAGCAGGCTTTTAACATGCTTCAGCACTGTACTTGAAACTCATTAAAAACATACTGACAGATTGTTCAAAGTGACACTCCACAATCCCATTCAGTTGTGCATTAACATTTCCAGATTGGGGCTGAAAGGTTGCTTTTAAAGGCCTCGACTAAGCTGAAAAAAGTTAGCTTGAGGTTTAGCAAATGCTTCGTGCTTAAGCTGATTGTAGAAGCATTAGTGCACTTGCAACAACACAGTCTTTGCATGAGTACTGTCCATGATACTTTTCTTTATTCACTACTTCTTCAGAGTACTAGATAGGCCGAGAAGAGGCTAGAACTCCAAAAGCTTGTGACACCAAACTCAGGAGTTAAATCTTAAAAATGCATTCAGCTGTTAACAAAAATGTATCTTATTTGTGTATCATTCAGCTGTAGATCCTCAAATCATCTCTGAATTGGTGCTGTCACTGTCCTTCCTTCTGGAGGGAGGCTACGTGTGTTCCCCATGGTCCCTGTGTGTGTTGTAAAGTAGTCACCGCTCCAAGCTCACTCCTGTGATGCACTACAATCTCATGTTTAGTTTACTAATTTGTATTGAGATTGTAGTCTATCACAGGAGCAAGCTTGGACCGGTGACTACTTAAAACACACACAGGCACCTTGGGGAACAAAAGTAGCCACCCTCCAGAAGGAAGGACAGTGTCAGCACCAATTCAGAGATGATTTGAGGATCTACAGCCGAGTGATACACAAATAAGATTCAGTTTGTTAACAGTTAAGGGTCATGAATGTATTTTTAAGATGTAATCCTGAATTTAAGGTCGCCTGTACAGTAAGTGCAAATAAAAAAAAAGTATCACGGACAATACTCACCTGTGTACATGCTTCGCAAAAGCTTGCTGTATACACTACTCTTTAGCCTAGTGTTCACAAGCTGAAACCTGTCTCATCAAAGCCTAAGAGGCATTTTTGAGACACACAAGAGTTACATATTTTAGAAAGCATTGGCACCCTGACTCATGGGATCTGCCCAGCCCAATATGACAAAATGTTTGTGAAGACTCTCATTTATCCAGCTCATGGTATAGCTAGTAGTCACATTCAACTAGACGTGTTGAATGTTGACGCCAAACATTAGAGCTGGGCATGTTAGCTTGGATAAGCAGCAAAACATCTTCAACAGGTCTGGTTGAATGTGACCAACTACTACTAGCTAATATGCCAAAGTGTGGCTGAGCCTAACCTGCCAATGCTCCTGCATTTAACTTGCCATTAGAATACCAATTCAAGTCCATTAGCTTTTGCAGGCGGATTGCAACCAATACAAATGCATATCATAAACTCTGCTTAACAAAACATATTATTCATTAAGTGACGCTATAATCAGATACTGCTTTCATTATTAAAGGAATAACCAATTAGCTATTGCAATCTGCAGACTTGGAACTTGGCCTAATTAGCTCTACCCCGTATGACCTTTTCTGTGCCACAGCGTGCAATACCCTAAAGCTATAAATCATGAAACCTGACTTCTGTAAGAACTGGCATCTTAGCTGCAATGACATTCAAGAGGGAGCTGGATAAATAAATGGGTAATGATAACCGTTCTTTATATTGTGTGATTTTAGCAGGTGCCAAGTAGAGTAGTGTCCTCTACAGTGACTTCTGTTTACCAAAGCAGTCGGTAAGCACCCCGAGTATGTTCATACAATCCAAAGCAGCCAATCAAATCCTACCTGTTATATTTAAGAACTGTCTACAAAAGAAAAGCAAACCAGCTAGTTTACTGCACTGGAGTTCCATTTGTGGGTTTCTGTTCTTCTAGTTGATTCTATCCATGCTGGCTGGATCCAACAGAATATAATGAGGTATATGCTCAGTCTACAGATGTTCAGTAGCAGGAGTCTCTCACCTTTCAGGGACATTTAGTACCATAGTGAATGAATAGTGCTCCCACCCGCACGCGTGGTGACTGGTGCAGACATACATATGAAATGGCACATTAGACCACAGTGTATACAGTACATCTAATTGAGCTCTGTGTTTCATTGTGACTGAAGTTGTTGTTCTGGTTGTACCAAGAGATACGTTTTATTCCCTTTTAACAAATTAAGAAGTAGAATTGTTGATGACAAATTTAAAGGTGACACTGCCATACTGTTGTTTTTCTGCTGCAGGAAATTAACCTTTGTTGTCCCAAATGAACCCCAAAAAAAAAAAAAAGAAAGAAAAATGAGAAAACAATGTCATCTTTGTCCCATTATGGGACCCAATTAGTTGCCCCCAGATTCATGCAGTAAACATCAAATATCCTGCATGATAGTTTATCATCTGATCCCCCAACATCTGTCTTGTTCACCAGCCAAAGGTCTAAGACTAGTGATGTGAACAAGTGGCAAGGGGGTTCCTTTTCTGTCTTTCATATATTCAAGTAGGTTCAGGGTCCGCAGTGACGTGGTGACCATTCACAGAACCTTTTCTAAAGTGGCAATGCATATGAACGCCTTCACTGCCATTGGGGCTAGCCAGTCCTTAGTTACCAGAATAGGTAATCCAACCAGCTACAAAGGTGCGATGGCTTGGAGCTCATCCGGGTGAATGTGGCAGTGGAGATCTGCTTTGCACACGCTGTACACGACCGATTTGGGGATCGTTGGCTCTTCCTCTCCTGCAGGGAAAGCAGAAACAAAAGTAAAGGAAATCCCTCAATAGACAGGTATTCAAACTTAAAAACATCCTAGAGATTTTGATGGATATGTGGATGAGAAAATAAATAATACTGTGCTAGGCAAACAGCTATCCCCATCTATGCTGATGTTCATGGTGATGGCTGGCATGCCACAACAACAGGCTAGATTACCCTGTTGGACTAACTAGAACACCTCTGTGACCATTATCTGATCTAAGTAACTCCTATGGAGAACTCAGGAGGCTGAGTAAAGTATGACACTTGACCCAATGCAGCCTTATTTATGTCAAGCACAATACTGTAGCCTGCAAGCACACCTGTTAGGCATTCTATAAGTAGATCTTATCTATTCAGTCATAGGTCATAGACATGAAAGGGCAGATGTGTAGGCATAACCTGACAACCTGGAGACATGTCTTTTGTCAGTCGGCCTCCTAAACCTGTACCTGTAGTTCGAATAAGTGTATTTGTTGAAATGGACTAAATGGGCAAGGAATGTGAACGAAGCATAGACATTCAGGTGGAAATTCACTGTATCAGTTGGGAGCCTTAACAAATAGTAAAACACATGAAATAGATATTGGTGAGGTGTTTAGCTACCTAAATAGGAGTCTCTGATTTTGCTGGATTGTTTATACATCTAGAGCCTTGATTCTCAATTGGAGGGCCGTGACCCAAAAGTGGGTCGCGACCCAATGTTCAGTGGGTCGCCATGTGCCTTCCACTTTTCTAGGTGAGAGGTTCCTCAGCCTCTTCCCAGCACAGCACTGTCAGTTCTCGCCCCAAGCAGTCATTGAAAATATGCTGCCTGGTGCCGAGTGTCAGCTTGAGGTGGGGTGGGCTGGGGGTATGGCCGCGAGGGAGCTCCATCTATATGTGTATTGCTTATAGCTGCCTTGCGTGTCCTGTAGAGGTGCCTGAACCGGAGTGACGTCACATTCTGGCTCCTGGCTCCTCTACATGTAATGCACATATGGATGGAGCTCCATCACAGCACAGCAGCCCGCACTTGACCCCGGGCTGAGCATCCACTCCAGTTCTCGTAAGGTAGGGAGACTGAGTGGACCTTGAAAAAAATTAATTTTTTTTGGAGTGTGTATGTGTGTGTGTGAGAATGTCTGTACGTGTGATTGTGTTTGTGGTTATGTATGTATGTATGTCAGTGTTTTTGGGGGCCCATTCACACTAGTACAGTGCGTTAATTGCATAGTCCCATGCAGTTAACGCACTGTACCACGCAATCGCACCCACCGCGCATTGTGGTGTGGGAGGTGCATTGCATTTGAATGGCATCCCAAATGCATCTCCCACCCGCAGTTCTATCGCCCGCATCGGAGCGCGTGGTACCACATGTCATGCGTTCCATTGCAATGCAACTTGGGTCTCGACTTAATGACCAAGGACAAATGTGGGTCCTGAGGTTACACAGGTTGAGAGCCACTGATCTAGAGGTACTAAAAAAGTATTGACAAAAGAATCGCTATACAAAGCATTGTTCATGATTTCTACAATAAATGTATTTTCTTCAAGACGCTGTATATGAATCTTCCAATTATAATGAAGCCTAATTATGGTAATTGTGACATACCTAGTCCTGAAGATGATGAAATGCTCTCTGCAATAGACAAGGTTTCTATCTGGTCAGGCAGTAGTCCATCCATTAATGGCAAGGAAAGCTCAGAAGAGGGGACGGAAGAATCGTATATCCCAGAGTCCCGCGGCATTTCCGTCTGGTTCACCACCTTGACAGAATGGAGCACTGGCTGGAGAACACAACACTCAACATGAGTGGCTGCTACTTCCAGCTCGTCCCCAGTATCATTGTTCTGAGCTTGTAAATGACAGTCTGCCGATGTCAGCACTTCAGCTTGCACAGGAAGATCGTGCTCCGTCACCTGTTTCACTGTAACATCATTTAACACTAGGCCCGAGTCAAATTTCTCCATCACCGGTTCCTGGCAATGCAAAACAGGAGACTGAGATGGAGCATGCTGCTTTTCGAACCAGTCTGGTTCCTGGTCGATGTACTGGTGCATGTTACAAATGGCGACATACAAGGAGCGCCCGGCTTTGCTGCGGAAATAGTTGCGCTTGCTGATGTTCGTCGGGTACTGGTCATGGTCCTGCAAGCTCATCTCCTTGGAATACAGGTGGTAGTAAAGCTGGGGGAGGTGATCCATGAGTTTGTATTTCTTGGTTCCATCAAGAACCCCAGGAATGTCGTTCTCGTTTGAGTAATCAAAGTAAACCGTGATGAATTTACTTAGATCGTCCGAACTATCTGAGCTCCCCTGGGCCTTAGGCAGCTTGTCAGTGATCATGGACATGACACTCACAAAGATCTCCCCTTTCCCAGAATCAAGATTGGCGGCCTTGTTCTTCTTCTTCTTCTTCTCTACAAAATACTTCAGGCCCTTGGAACACACGATGATGATGTAATGAGAATCTTTCATCTTCTGTTTCAGCCACTCCCTCTGACCTTCTTTGCAAATTTTTAAGTTTTCCCACAAGTCCAGAGAAACCTGCACAAGGCAAAAATAAGAGGACTATTTGTACTTTAATACGCAAACAGCAAATTAAAATGATTCATGGAAATAAGCTTTTGTTCTGCCCTGAAACTCTAAACATAATTAAAATGGAAAAACTCATTTTGAAGATGGGATCTGCAAATAATTACTGAACGGTGTGCAGCAGCTGGCAGCAAAGCCGATTCAGCAGAGGGCACTCTGTTCATGTATGATTTCCTGCATAGTTTCAGCTTTAATACTACGTCTCTCACATGTTAAATTTAACATGTATTGATAGAGATACATGGGTGGCAGTTGCTGTCTCCTTCCGAGAATACTAGCTATCTGGCTGTCATGGCTGTCCTGCTGTCAATGGCAATACTAACCTGGAACAACTATGCAGATCAAGAGTTCTCTTGCTGCACAATTGTTCTGGTGTTTTCAAAGTATTGAAAGCAGACACGGTTGAGCAGCTAACATTTTCAGATGGTCAGCAATAGCAGCTTCCATACTTTTTGCACAGGTTTCTTTTAAAGAGACATTGTCACCAATTCACGGCTAGGATACCCCATTCCCTAACGGCTGATACTCACCTTGCCAGTACTCCCTTGCCAGACTTGCCTTGGTCGCAGCTGAGGACAATACCCACTGCTTCTGGGTATGGGGGAGCATGTGACTTCCTCCAATGTGACATTGCCCAGGACTAGCAGCCAATCATATGACCAAGGAAGTGGCATCACGGCTTTGCTTAGCACTCAATGCCAGCCGACACTAGGGTTTTTAGTGGCAGCTGCAATGGAGGAGATAGCGATGAGGACAAACTGGCAAGATGAGTATCAGTGGATCAGGGGGTGCCCTTTCCAAAAACACACTGCCACTTTACCCCGACTGGTCAAGGTGACACTGTCTCTTTAAATTGCATGTAAAGCCAAAATTATTTTAGTGTTGGGTAGTGTAGGGAAGGTTTAACCCCTGCCAGGTCATTTTTTGCTGTCCGTGTACCATTGTGGAAATGTCCCTTCAATGTCTATTCCAGAGATGCCCCAGGAAATTAGAGGAAATCTCCCAAATTAATTTCCCCTTACCTCTTATTCTGGGGACAGATCTAAAATTTTGCTAACCCTTACTTTGTCAGTGATAAATGTCCCAGTACAAATGCAGGCAAATCTCCCAAACGGAGGCACAGACAGAAATAAAAGCTAAAGAGGTTCTGATCCTAACCCACTATATCCCCCAAAAAAGAAAAGGATTTTGCTTAGAGACATACTTAATGCAGAAAATGACGAGGTCAGATTGCCAAGTGTACTGGGAACAATGTGGAAGAAACTAGAGTTCTGCTTTAAATGTTTATAAACTGGTCTTCTATATCACTGTTTTCATTACTTACATTAAATTATTGATTATTTCTATTTTACACATAAACACTTCATACAGAGTGCTTCTAATATACTTTTTTTTTGCTCACTTTTTGACTGCCCTTGTCCACATGTAGTCCCATACACATCTATAAGAGCTAGGAAAAGGGAGGGGAGATGTCCCTCCTCTGGCTCATTTAACTCTGTGAGCATGATATGAATTCACATCAATAGCAGAAGACCAAATAATAGACTACCTGCAGCATAGTAGTAAAGAGCACAGCAGCATTGGTGAAGAACTGACTCAAGTGCACTACCTGCTGGCTGCTAGTGGTAACAATTGAATAAGAATATACAATATTACACATTTTACATGACTGAAAAGAGCACATTTTTGTAGTCCTGAACAAATCAATAATTAGAATAAAAAACCCTATGCATTACCTATCATTACAAACTGTCCTCAGCTGTTCGGTGCACAGTTCTATACAAACTTACCGGTGCCCCTTTAAATTTTGATTTATGTGCCTAATGCAAATATCCAATTCATGGGCAGCCATATGAGGCAGCCTGGGGACGTATGGACTTTTTCTTTCTTTCCTGTGACAGTCTCTGGCTCTGACTCAGATCCCATAGACAGATGGGGTGATGCTTTCAATAGCATTGACCTGTTGTTGCCTTTAGTGGAAAGGTCAAAGGCCATTAGTATCCCTGGACTTCAGAATCCTGTATGGGTAAGATATATTCACTGCTAAGTAATAAAACTCACTTCACATCCACAGAAATCCTGCAGGAAATAGGCAAAACACTGGATCACATTTATGTGTTTCTGGCAGTCTTTGTTGGAATAGCAAATAAACACTTTTGGCCGTGGGCGCGGTTTTTCGACATGAAGACTTCCGGCATATGTGGAGGACTCGGAACTCTCCTCATCAAGGTGGGAATAGATGTTTTCTATAGGAGAAGATTACAGCAATGTTATAACCATTTATTAAAGATTTCCTCTTACAATAGTTTTTAAAGCAGAACTCCGGGCAAATCAAATCTTAACCCATACAGTTGGGGCTACCCCGGCACTACAAGGGCTAAGTGCTCGTTTTGTCTAGTAGGGAACTGATCCCGACTGGCTCCTACACTGGTCCCTCCAGCCTGTCTCCTCCTCCGTTCCGATGGTATTTCCTTCAGCGTTCTCGTGTTCTATGGACTGTATAGAACGTGATGGCTAGACCACTAGAGCAGAGGGAGGCTTCAGGGACCGGTCTAAGAGCAAGCCGGGATCCTTTTTCGGGTCAGTCTAACTTCTTTTTAGCTCCCTGGACAATGCGCACTCAAACCCTCGCAGTGTGGGGGTAGCCCCACTGCAAGGGTTAAGATTTGCTTTGCCCAGAGTTCTGCTTTAGAGCAGAAAAACCACTAAATACACAAATGAAATACATATACAGGAGCCGATTTACCTTCCTAAGGGTTTGTATTTCTGTCCATCCCTAGATTTAGCACAGCCCTCATTTTAAAGGACTTACCTTGCTGCTTTTTCCGGCACATAACGGTAAACAGTGTTGCAAAGGCTGAAATGATGACCAAAGGCACGGTAATGGCAATAGCACGGATGGGTCCGGCCCAAGGAGAATGCACTAAAAGGGAAAAAAAGTTATTTTATTTTATTGGTGCCCCATAAATGCAAAATAAACATCTTATTGGTTATTATGGCCAATTCCGTATTTTTACCACACGAGTTTTTATGAATGAGTTCAATCAGTACTTACCTGGTTTTAGTGAGTAATGCATGGAACGTCTTGTTGTGTTAGTGTCATCGAGAAGCTGTGGAGATTAGTACATAAAGAAAATGTTATTGAATGTAAAATGAAACAAATATATGTAATACAAGGAGATCTGCATTGTAGAAATCCCATTTAGGATGTTCTTAGATTTGTGGCATTATAATCCACAGGAAAATGAAATGTTTTCCCTTGCAGTGGATAATACGAAATCACCTGCACTCCATACAGCGTACAGACCTTGGATGAAAGGTTGGTGCTTGAAGTGACAACACAGATGGTGCCGTAGCAGATACAGTCCATCATAGAAGTCACCAGCACTCGATGATATGTGCAAGAAGTAAAGCACTTTTTACTAAATCGTCACATGCGTCAAACAGCCAAAGTTTCGGGGCCACGCAGTCACTATTTCGCCCAGAAGAAGGGACCCTGCGTGGCCCCGAAACTTTGGCTGTTTGACGCATGTGAAGATTTAATAAAAAGTGCTTTACTTCTTGCACATATCATCGAGTGCTGGTGACTTCTATTATATTCCCTTGCAGTGGGACTGCCCCCATGCTGCAAGGGTTAACTGATCAATTATGCCTAGGGGACCGGAAAAAGCAGTTCTATTTTCCCGATTCTCGCTCCCACCAGCTCTCTTTGGGCTGCTATACAAGTCCCTGCAGCCTCTTCTCAACTTCGATCCACGTGTCTATGGACCACTGACATCATAAAGTACAATGCAGGTTCCATAGACCTGCATTGTAAGTGAGGACGCTGAGGGAAAGTCCACAGGAGAGGAAGAAGAGGAGCGCCGACTTCCAGGGCAGCGGGGATCAGGTAAGTAAAACAGCTTTTTCCTGTCCCCTAGGTATACACTGCTAATTCATTTTATTGCACTAAAGAATATTAGATATTTTTATTATCAAAAAGATTTTTTGGGGGGGGCGTCAATAAGGATTGATTACAATTGGTATATAGCTCATGTATTTATTTATACATAACTGAGGTCAACACAACGTGATGATACAAAAATAAAAAAGACATTTTACCTCAATGACATAATCCCCAGGAGAGACGTTCTGTAGCAGACAGTTTGTGTAATCGGAGTTCAGAACCTAAAACATAAGTAAACACATTCATCAATAAGTGTTATTTCTTCATTTCCATTCTGTCAAAATAGGAACCTATCAAGAAATACAAGAGGAAACAAAAGGACAGGAAATCCATTGGTGGAAATATCCCTCAATTAAAGGGTAAGGTTACGTTTTGGACCATGTTTTATGTTACATCTATATCAGAGTGTAACATGAAACATGGTGACATTGCAACCACCCCACCCCTATCCTGACCCCCACTTACCTGAATCACTGGGTTCTACTCCCTGCAAGCTGCAGATCTCTTTTCAATTAGCATGGCTGTGCATGGCTCCGTCCATATACCTGTGTCATATATTCACAGATCCTTTTAAAGGAATCTGGGAATGGAGAAGTCCCATCAGCCAGCGCGGCAATGCAATGGAAAATATGTCTGGTGACGTCACTGCGCTTGAAGTCCATTGATTCTTCCTCCTGCCTATGTTACTGAATGTCCATTGCTCAGTATGAAAAGCAGAAATCACCAGCACTCAATAATAATATTCCGATAATAAATGTCCATTTATTCGGACAGATCATCACAATCAAAAAAACAACGTTTCGGGGCCACCCAGGGTCCCTTCATCAGGGTGAACTGTCACACTGTCACCCTGATGAAGGGACCCTGTGCAGCCCCGAAACGTTGATTTTTTGAGTGTGACGATCTGTCCGAATAAATGGACATTTATTATCGCAATATTATTATTGAGTGCTGGTGATATCTGCTTTTCATTGCTGATGTGCACGGCGCCATCCGTGATTGTCACTGCGAGCACCACCATTGCAATCTGGGCCGGGAACGCTGTGGGGAGTGCAGAGGGACCTTCCATTTGTCTACCTAGCTCAGTATGGACATGGACGGGAGGAAGAATCTGCAGGAGACAGAGCACTGCACCCATGAACCACTAATCGCGGCTGCAATGTTTTACTTGCTCCGATGCAAAAAATAATAAATGCACATTTATTATTTTATGAAGTACGCATTTATTATTTATTTCCAAAAAAGACTTCACCATTAGGATAAAGTCCTCACACTAAACGCCGTCAGCTCTGGCCAAATCACATCCTTTGTTCTCAGTTTTTGGACCGGCAGCCTGTCATGGAGAGCGATGGAGGAAAGGAAGAACACTGGAGTTTTATTACATGAAACACAGGCAATAAACGTATTTGCACGCTGTGCGCTCCAGACTATGGACCAATCCAGCCAAGAATTCAAGGCTCTTCAGTACTGCCTTCCATGATGTCTAAAAGTGGGCCTGTGAGCTTCCTACGCTGCTGACGCAGATTGGAAATTGTCCTAGCAATGCCTTAGAGCATTTAACTGTGCAAATAGCGTCAGGATCCAACACACACAAGACAGTGATGATAACTCTGGCAGGAAGAATCTCGGCTCAAAGCCCAGAACTTTGCTTCACTTCAACCGACTTCCTCTCTGTCCATTTAACTGTCTCAGAGCTAGACTAGAAGTAGAAGAAATGTGGCCTTTGTTATGGTGAAACACACATTAGCGTCAATTTACACAACTATAACATACACAGCATTTGCTCATTTTAACACATTTTTTTCAATCCACTGGAAGTTTTATCTTCTGATGAATTTACAGGAAGCATATTATATTGATTTTGCAGTATCCTATAAGCAAATGATGATGAGCAATCAGGATTTCGATTCTAAAATTCAGCTTCCTTCTATCTAGTGTTAAAGCCGTCCTAGCATCAGATACATGTTAATGTTAAATGTAACACTCAGAAGGTATATATTAATTCTCACGGAGATCATAGTACTGACAATGCCCTCCTTTTCTCCCCATGAGGACAGCACCATCTTTGCTCAGGCATTATTTAGAGTCAGTGTCTACTTCCTAGACCAGTGCTGGCGAACGTTTAACCCGAGTGCCCAAACTGCGACGCAAAATCCATTTATTTATCTCAAAGTGCCAACACTGAAATTAAGTTTAGTATTGTGTTGCAGTTTGGGCGCCGGGGTTTAAAAAACGTTCAGAGTCACTGCTTAGGCAAAATAGGGAAACACACAAATCCAAACATTTATACATTCAATAAAACACACACATCACACATGTAATCAAACACAGACACACACATCACACACTCATAAAAAAAACCCCACACACACACATCGCACATGTAATGAAACACACATCACACATGCATTAAAATACATACATCACACACATAATGAAACACAGACACACACACTCATTTAAAAAAAATATATATATATCACACCTTCATTAAAAAAACACACACACACACATCGCACACGTAAAGAAACACATACATACATCACACATACACGCATTAAAACACACACATATGCATTAAAACACATACACGCATTAAAACACACACGCATTAAAACACACATCACACACGCATTAAAAACACACACATATCTTCATTAAAAAGCACACACTCATTAAAAAACACACACACACAGAACTACTAACAATAAAAATAATTAAAACATTATCCCCTCTCCTGCTTACCAGTTTTGGAGGGAGGGGGCTGCATCCCTGGGGCCCAGTGGGGCACATCCTGGTGATCCAGTGGAGGATCAGTGTGATCTGCATCTCTGGCTGATTCAGACCATACAAATCGCTCCTGCCTGTGAGCAACAGCACTACGTAGGAGCAATCAGTATGGTCTGCATCAGCACCTAGGCTTGTGTGCCGCCAAAGGGGCATCTGTGACACGTGTGCCATAAGCTCGCCATCGCTGTCCTAGACTAAAGCTGGCTATGCACTGAGCGAATTTCAGCTGGTTCTTATTGAACCGGCCGATATCTGCTCAGTGGATGGTCCTATCTCCTACTCGACATCCTTCAACTGAAAAATGAAAGGAGTCGGGTTGAAAATTGTCAGTCTCACAGTGCCTGCATGCAATCAGATGCAGACATTGTTCAGGTATTTTGACAGCCGTCGAGGCTAGCTGCTAAAATACAATAGCTGCACCGGGAGGTTGGTCCATCCATGTTAGGGGAATCTGGAAGTATACCTAGCTTTAGATGCTGGCTCAGAAATTAAGCAGTTGTAAGTCCTGATGCCTGCACAGTCGTTGGTTGTATTCACAAATGGCTGGCACAAGCAAGCCCCCGATGCAGCCTCCCACCTTGTGACAAAGGTACAATGTACAGTCTGTTCACAGAGGGAGAGTAGACACAGGAAATGCTTCCTCCTGCCTGCAGTAGACCGATGGCATCATCTCAGTCTAGGCAAAGTCCCCAGACTAGAACACATATCATACAGCTTATTTTATTTATACAAATTATATATACTGTTGCTGCATGTTGTGACACAGTTATGTTCCACACCACATTACAATTTGGGGGAAACAGAAGGCACATATTCAAGGATCAACATACTGCAGGAAACATAAGTTGGCCATGGCCTGCCCAAAAGACTGTACAATAATTAGCCATACCTGTCTGCAGACTTTCTGTTTAAAGGAGGCATCATGCTTCATTCTGTAGTTGACGTAGTAGGCGTTAAACCCAAAATTGTAAGGAGCGTGGTCAAACGATACTTGCATGTTGACACCTTGCTGTGTGACATTCACGCTCTTTGGTTTCCAATCTGCATAGGAGAAAGGAACAATAAAAGGTAAGTCAAAGAATCTGAGTGCAAAACATATACAGGGTTATTCACTCCAGAGTTTGGAGAAGGCAGGAGAAGTGAACAATCTAGGACAACATAGCTGAACTGGAGAGTGAGCTGAATTGGAGAATTTTTCTGAATAAGCTATGTTGTCCTAGATTGTTCACTTCTCCTGCCTTCTCCAAACTCTTCACCCTTTTGTGAATAACCCTGTTAATGTATATATTATAGGATATAATATAATTACACTGGAAGTGCATTTAAAAAAAAATTCAGACTTAAGCTTTAATGACAATAAATGTATTGATTCAATAATTGCTTTTTATATGTTTGCATGACACTTAAATGAGAAATATTTTTTTTAAACAAACTTTAATAAACCATATAGATTAATAGAATTTTCAATGGTTCTGCAAGAATGATCATTTGAGACACTGGGGTTGATTTACTAAAGGCAAATATGCAAGATAATTTGCACTTTGCAGGGGACATTTCCCCATAGTATAGTGAATGAGGTGACTCTCTGCTGACGCCCATCACCTAATCACGCGCAAGCAAAAATATTTTTTTTCGTGCACATGATCAGGTATTCTTTGCAAAGTAAACTTCACCACATTCACTAAGCTAAGGGGAAACGTCCCCTGCAAAGTGCAAATTCCCGTGCAAAGTGAACAGCCGATTTGCCTTTAGCTAATCAACCCCTTTGTTTTAGTCACACCATGATTTGAACTGATTTCGGGGTTAATTCACTAAACGCAAATAGGCTGTTCACTTTGCAAGGGAATGTGCACTTTGCATGGGACATTGCCTTAGCTTGGTGAATGTGGTGAATTTTCACTTTGCAAGAATACCCAATCATGTGCTAAGAAAATTGAAAAAACCCCAGTAGTGATTGGATGAGGGAAGTTATCAGAGCTTCACCTCAATCACTAAGCTAAAGGGGACCTTCCCCAGCAAAGTTCAAATCATATCTGCCCTTTAGTAAATCAACCCTTTGTTTTATTTGCACCATCACTGGAACCAATTTTGACTCAAGAGGTGCTAATTTTTGTCAATTCAATAAGAAACTGGTTGAGCACAAAAACACCCATTTTATACACTGCAGCTCACTTCCAATTGTCTTTCATCGCTAACAATGATTGCATTAGTAATGTCTCAAATGATCATTCTTCCCTTCAATCAAAAACACAATTCAATGTAAAATCAATAAGCCAATGGCCCAGTGTTATGTGACAGAGATTACTTACATGGCCTGCAGGTTAAGTTGTCTGGGTGCAGCAATGTCTCACAAGCTAGAGAAAAAAAAACAAACCATAGCAGTCAGTATAGAGGAACTTCTAATACTTCAAAATGTTTTCTATGTGTAACAAACTCCTACAAAACCTGAAAATAGGATTTACTGTACTGGCTACAGCCGCTGGCAAATGCAGGCTATGCTGTTTTCTGTGGAGCCCGTCCATGCGCTTCTTCTTATACAAAATGAACCAATATAATTTTTAGACTTCAGAAGCCTCAACTTGTATCTTCTTTTTAAAGTTTTGGATAAAGTAGGAAATGGTTAGAACCCTATTAGGTTTTTTTTTTTGCTGTTAAAGACCCAGGTTGGGATGATCTTTTTTCAGTTTCAGGAAATCTCTCTAAAAAGACAATTGAAATGAAAAAAAACTTCCATGATATTTTTCTCTTATTCTCCTGCTAAAATGGTGAGTTCCCCTTTTCACAAAACATGAAAAAATGAATTTACTCACAGTACCCTAACCACCTCATCTGGTCTCCACTGCACTTAGCTGTGTGATGCCTCCGCTAGCCAGTGTAGTGATCCGTATACTGCACTTCATAGCCCCGCCTGTAATCATCACAATGTTCGCAAATGGTGAGCGCTCATTGATCAGTGCGGTCATCTCTTCTAAGTGGTGGACCAGGCCCTCAAAGAAAGATGCGCTTCCCATTGGTTGGTGCAGTCATGTGACTGTTCTGACAAATGAGCGCTCGCTATTTACAATGGTTACAGACTGCAGGGCTCTGAAGTGCATTGCATGGTGGACCACTACACTGGCTGGAGGGGGCATCACACAGCTAAGTGCAGCAGGGACCAGAGAAGGTGGGGAGGGTGCTGTAAATTATTTTAGAAAAAGATGAACTTCACACCAGAAGCGTTGGCCAACGTGTGAACAAGGAAATTTGCCTTATGTTCCTTGGCTTCAGTTCACACCAGCCTACTGTGTTGGTGTGTGTCCTGCTTCCTTGGACAAAATTTGAGCAGCGCATGGCCTGCGTCGGTACCCCGCCATATAACAAAAGTCGATTTTGCAATTTACTTTTGTGGCAGGAGCCAGTGCGAAAATTCTCAGCCGGACAGTGACTGCAACCAATCAGCTATCAGAATGCAATAGTCTGGTGGGGAATTTCTACATCCATGCTGTTAGTAGGGAGAAAACAAGAATGTTTTTCTCCTTCAGCCCCGAAAAAACTCACAATGTATGGCCAGCTTTAGAGATGAAAGTTAAATGAGCTCAGTAAAACAAATGCACTGGAGGCTGAGAAACGTTCCTTGGTTCCATTTATTATGAAAAAGCAGAAAGCTGACAGCGACATTACCAGGACCATCAAATTAGCTCAACCAGTCATTTTGTGCAAAAGTAGCAATTGAACAAGAAGAACGAATACAAGTTTGTACGCGTTTTACTTGTAACTGAACCATCCTCTCCGCTACTTTAGGGTTTGTATATAAAACCGAGTTCTGCACTGTTATTGTCTTGACCTATTTTTCACACAGTCCAACAGCCAAGGGAATTCTTCAGCTGCATCCCAACAGAGTGAACTCGAACCACGCAAAATATAGGTCTGAACGCATGAGTCAAGTGGTCGGAGGTTGGGATCACATAAAGCAACAGCCGTCCTCTAAGGCCTGGTTCACACCTAGGAGTTTTTGAGCAGTTCAAAAAGCATTTTAAATGCCCAACACAAGAAATCCCACGATTTTCAATGGCCCTGGTTCACCCCTGAGCAGAAAAACGCCAAATGCCCGAAAAGGTACAGGAGCTTCTTTGGGCAGTTAAAAGCGCTTTGTTACCCCATAGACTTCATTGGAAATGCCCAAACACGCGTGGCAGAAGCATGTTGCACATTTCCGTGAGCGTTTTTGCGCATTTAAACGCACGTTCTTCCATTGCCCACAATGTTTTATGAGCTGCCAGTCAAAACATGCGTCAGTACGCGCGTTAAACCGTGCATTAAAAATGTGCACAACGCGCAAATAACCGCATGCTGGTAATGTGTGTAGACACGCGCACAAACGGTGCCGCCTAGGTGTGAATCAGGCTTTAAGGGAACCTGTCATTGGAGTAATATATAGGCTGACTATGCTAGATGCCTGGTTGCTATGCTGACTCCTGTGGCTTCAATACATGTTGTGCTTCTGAACCAGAAAAAGCATGCAACAAGTGAAGTCTGAGCTCCATTTCTGCATTGTGAATCGGTATGATAGTCAAGCAATTACTATTTTCAGGTCACATTTGTTCCACAGCATGTTTCTGTTAAAGCTAAACTCCAGTAAGATAAAAAAAAATACCAGATAATACAGTTATGTGTAAAAAAAAACATACATGAAATGTATTTTTAAATACAAGTCTAAGGTCCTGAATTAGACTGTGTGTCTGCCTCTTGTAAATCGCTATGCCAAATAACCCTGGCACAGGAAGGGGAAGTGTTAGGAGCTAATCATGTGCATTGCGGTGCAGACACATAATAGGCTGACAGTAGAGCAGAGGGATAAGCTTATCAGTCTGCTGCTGCTCCTTCACTGTCCAATTACAGGCTTGGGGCAGGGAGGTGACCTAGCTGTACTGGTCTACCTGCAGTGGAAAAATGTCAGATCACCAACCTGGATGTGCTTAAAGGATAAAGAGGTAAGGAATTAGAATGCATGTCAGGTTTTTATTGTTGCCTGTGTCTCCATAGGGAGATTCATCCTCTGTCAGTCCTAGTTACTGTTCTCAATAAACATGAAAGAAAATCCAAAATTTTGGGTGGACATTAGAACAGGAATAGACGGGAAATCTTCCAATGGGGATACTAGCTCTGGTGACCCTGCTAACCACCAGGGATTTCCCTCACTTCCTGTTGTGGTTATCAGAGAGGAAGTGGAGGGAAACCTCCCCAATGGGACACAGATGGCAAAAAAAGCTGAGAGGGGTTATAACCAAAAGCTGACTGGGGGTTGTAACCCACCGTTATTCTATCCAAAACTCCATAACAGGTTTTGGTTTCAGTTCTCCTTTAATTGCTCACTCTCAGGACTGGGTGGACAGAAATACAAACCCTTTGGCAAGTGAAACAGCCCCCATATATGTATCTCAGCTCTGTATTTAACTGTCTGCCTGGAAGTCAGCGTTAAATTAACAAGATGTATCCAGGCATTCCCCTGTGTGTGTGGTCACAATGTTTTCACCCAGGCAGGTTCATAAGTGTGCCCTAAAATGGAAAAATGAATGACAATGAACGACATACTGTGTATTGAATGCTGCACGTGTTTAGGTGAACCTAAATAAAAAACCTATTGAATTGTGGTGATTTTGGTTGTGAAATCTCAAAACAATAAGGTCTTAAGATGAGAAGATCAGAGCAAAGGAACCTGGCAACCTTTTCTGTCTACTTGTGGAAAACATGAGCTATCGGATTGGAATGTCGCCAACATGAAGACTCTGGCAGATCCCTGAGCAGTCTCATGCTTCAGGCATTCTGGGACATACTCAGTTGGTCCTGCCACATTTGTTGTGGATTGACACAAGTGTGGGGAAGAGGCAATAGGAGTGCAGCTTTTAGACTACTGTATTCAGCCCCTCCAGCGCTCCCTCTCCTGACTCGTTTCCAGAGTTCCTTCTAACATAAATACATGTGATTCAATTTACAGCTGTTTACAATGATGTATCCTGCAACAGCCAAAGATGGGAGTGGGGTTTACAGCGGATAAATGTAATATGTGGCCTTCACGCTGTTCTGAAACTATGAGAATGTTCGTACTGGAACTTGTCTTCCCAAATTACTGACAAGTGAAAAATGACAAGACTAGGGGTACTATTCACTAAAGAGCTGAAGGATTTAGCCGTAGCTTCAGCTAATCCTTCCGCCGCCAGAGCCCTTCGGTTCAGCTGAATTTGCTGAGCATGTTCGGCTGAACCGAAGGGAGCCAAAGCCAGCCGACGTAAAGCTGATTTCAGCCGATGTACGGCTGCTGAAGTGAATAGCCCAATGGCGTTTGGCTCACTTCACTTCGGCCTGGTTATTCACTCGGCTGCCTTTGGCAGCTTAATGAATAACACCTTAGGTATGTACTGGAGATCAGCTGAAGATGAAACTTCCCACTCTTATGAGTGGACATTATTATTAAAGAATTTAGACTACTGTATCTTTTTTATTGAGCTCCTATTGGACTTTGTACACCTGTAATTCATTGGCATTCAAAGGCATATCCTTAGAACAACATTATTAATGTCAGCACTTACTGCGTGTTCTGAAGAAAAATGGATGATAGTGGCTTTCGTTTTTTATTGACGGAAACGGGACAATTTTCACAAAGTAATCTGTTTCAAACTTCAGGTTCATGAATGGCTGGGTCTCAATAACCTGAAAAGGTAGAAAGGTATATCTAGTGAGAAGAAGTGCAAAGAAAGGGAGCATTGTAAAAATCATATTATATGATTTGTATGTTAACGTGTATCTGTCATGTTGAGTTTCCATATGCTTTCTGTCGCAGAGAATCTATAGGAAGTGAGAGAAAATCCAAGAGAGGGGATACCCTCTCTTAAGACAGCTGTCACAAGTACAAATGTTACCCCTAAAATATATGTCCCTTCTCCTGCTTTTCCAGTGGCAACCATAACATTTTGGATTTCCCATTACATTATGTTCTGACAATGGTCACCAGAACAAACAGGAAGGGTGTATCTCCCCAGTGGGGTCCCGCAAGCATTGTAACACTTTAACTACTTTCCAAGTCCAAGTCTTATACCTATCTGTCCTCACCCTCCGAGAATTTTGCTGTACGCCAGCTGGTAGCTGCACATCCGCCGCCATAAACTCATTCCTGGCAAGGCTCTGCTCCATCTATGAATGCACGGAAAAATCTCCTTTCATTCTTATGACAAGACCTATCTATTATGCTCCCAATAGACAAAATCTATTATTTTTACAGCCTCCCCATAGTCATGATTAGAAATAGTAGTACCCGGTTGAAAGACTACAGGAGCAGTGGCGATGCAGCTCCCAGCAGGATGTACAACAAAGCTCTTGGAGAAGCAGACACGGGTGACTATATGACTTAGGATGTTATTTGGGGGGGTCATTTAAAGGATAACTATAATAAATCTAATTCATCTCTTAAAGCCCAATTGCTTGCTTTTTCTACTTCTTATGCAGGCAGGCTGAATAACAAGTAAAAAACATGTTAATAAATTATTATGTGTTCTAGGGATGCACCAATACTAGTATTCGTACTCGCCCAAATGCTCCGATGCCTAGCCCGATGCCACCGGTATCAGGAAGCCGGGCATGCGAGTCATTACACTCTGCCCGGCTTCTTGATTGGCCGGGAAGTCGACTCCATGCTCTCCTGGGAGCATGGAGCCGGCTTCCGGCCAATCAGGAAGCCAGGAAACATGTCATTACGCGCCCCCCGGCTTTCTGATTGGCCAGAAAGCCGGCTTCATGCTCCCTCGTCACCTGATGGAGAGCATGGAGCCGGCTTCCCAACCAATCAGGAAGTCGAGCGCCGTGTAACGACGCGTTGTGCAGCTTCCTGATTGGCCAGCTTCTCGACCAATCAGGGAGCAGGGCAATGCGTCATTACATGGCCCCCGGCTTCCTGATTGGCCAGAAAGCCGGCTCCATGCTCCCTCATCACCAGATGGAGCATGGAGAGCAGGGAGACAGCTTCCCTGCTAATTGGGAAGCCGGGTGGCGAGTCTTTACACGCCGCCCAGCTTCCCGGCTAATCAGGAACCCAGGTGGCGAGTCATTACACAGCGCCTGGCTTCCGGAATGGGACTTGTGGTATCGGTATTTGGTATCGGTGAGTACTGGGGAAAAAAAAATATCGGTACTCGTACTCAATACCGAAAAACCGGTATCGGTGCATCCCTAATGTGTTCATAATTAAAACTGTAAAAAGCTGTCTTGTGCTGGCAGTATGCTAGAGAGTCAGACCACTGCTCTCAAAAAGAGAGCAGTAGTCTGGTCTGCAGTGTTCCAACACTCCCCTCCCTTGCTCAGTGCTCCAATTAACAATGCGGCCCAGGGAGCATGAGCTTTGCTGATTGGGTTACTATGCAGTGGGTTGTGTTTGACTGCTGGAGACCCGAAGTGCTCTGCTCTGTAACAGCAGCGGTCTGGCTCTCCAGTGTACTTCTGGCACAGGGCCGCTTCTTAGAGTTTTAATTACACACATAAAAAAGCCATATTCTTTACTTCTTATGCAGCTTGATCACATAACAAGTATAAAAAGCAGACTTTAATTAGGCTCAAAGGAGTGACTTGCTCCTTATGTTAAATGATATGATACATTATAATGTATGTTTCATTAGGGCACTCCTGAAAAAAACCCAAGCTATGAAATGATCATTTAGGACATAAATTAGTTTTACAGCACGTACAACTTTTTTAAAGCTGGAATTCAGCTGCTTTGGGTCCTTGAGCACCATCTGCTGACACATCCGCCCCTCGGATTTTAGTTCTTCCAGAATAATGCGAAAACCTTTCAGATACTCGATGCCTGGAAAATACAACACACACATTCAAGAAAAAAAAAAACACACAGCTAAAAGCTTCTCTCATTCTTTTTAAAGACAAGTAAAACAGTTGTTAGGGATGCAGTCACTATCGAAAAACAAAAAACAGATTGGCTTGCCAGCATTGTGACTGCTTAGTGTCCTTGAGCTAAATAAAGACAATTTTTTTTGAAACGTTTCATTAATTTTGTCTTTAGGTTGCATCAGAGTAATTTATCCCTCCTCCTTGCACAATGAACAATAACGCAGAGGCATACATTGCTATGGGCAGGTTTCAGTTATACACAGAGTGGTGTTCCCAAGGTAAAGATTGTGCTGTGTGTTTTGGAGAAGAGTCAACAATTCCAGCTTGGCTCTTCGCTGCCGACAGAAGAAAAAGCCTGTTTGTTTTACTAGGCAGACCTTGAAAGCCAGGACCCGATCCTCTCCTGCAGCATGTATGTTTCTGGCAGCCAGGGCGGGCTGGGATGTGTAGTTCTGCAATAGCAGAAAGCCACAGAATTTCCTACTCCTCCTATGTATAATGATGTTTTTTACTTCTATACAACTGACAATCTTGTTTAATTCATCCAACTATCTCACTCCGGCGTGCGCGGCGATACACAACATGTGTAGCGCGTTCGATGTTTTCATACGTAGGCGCACCCGACGAGTGTTTGCGTGGCAAAGCGCGTGCTCGCGGGGGCGGGGGACTGTTATACAGAGTCCCGGCGGCAAAAGTCACCGGGAGTCTGTTTAAACAGCCCCGATGCTGGTGACGTACACTGTACGTCGTCAGTCACGAAGGGGTTAATAAATAAATAACAGAAGTGGGGATGGTAATGATTAAAATTTTTGTGTTCGATTAATCGAATTTTTTTTTTAATCGATTAATTGATTAATTTCGATTAATTATAATGCACATACAGATCCAACTACATTGGCCTATACACATAAAGCACAGCAATGAAGTAATAAAATTAACTAGGATCACACTAATCCAGCACGTTATTAATCTCAGAATAAGTGGGGCAACTCAGAATAATAACGTGCTGGATTAGTGTGATCCTAGTTCATTGTATGACTTAATTGCTGTGCTGTATGTGTATAGGCCAATGCCTTGGCTGGCGCTCGTGTAGAGAGTTTCAAAAAAAAAATTAATCGATCAAAAAAATTTTAATCGATCAAAAAGATTAACGATTAATCGAGAAATTAATCGTTAATTTGCACAGCCCTAAACAGAAGGTTACCCCTAAAAGTGAACATGTGATCAGACAATGGACATTCAAGTATTTACAAATTCTTAAGAGCAGTAAGCAGAGCTGAAAAACAAGCCCTCACTGACCTTTTTAGATGCAGGCACTGTGGAACAATTTATCCTCAGAGTTCACAGCAGAAGCACTAAAGCCATTCAGATTGGTTCTCTCAGCAGCTCAGGTCAACTTGATCCCCCTTCCCAGAGTCCCTACTGTCTATTTCCATTAGAAATCAGAAGACTGGAAGATTGCTGAATAGCTGGGGAAGCAGGATGAGCTGAGCTGCGGAGAGAGAGGCTTCAACAACCTCAGTGCTTCTGCTGTGGACTTTGAAGAAGAACTGCTCCACAGTGCCTGCAGCTATACAGGTAAGTGAGAGCTTGTTTTAAAGTGTATTTTCACTTTTGCAGCCAAATTAAGATAGCACCTATGTTATACTTGGTATATTGTCTCATTTACTGTACATAGCATAACGTTAAAAAATATATTTAAAAATTGCTATTAAACATATTATTAGGGCTGCAACCAACTAATCGATAATGAGAATAGTTGTGAACTATTCTCATTATCGATTAGTTGGTTGGATCCCCAAACTCTCTCCCCCACACTGGGAGGAGTGCACAACAAGCAGTGGATGGGTGCAATAGGCAGCCTGTTATTACAATTTGAAACGGCCAATAGAAGGCTGGCTATTGCACCAGCCGACTACCTGCTGTATTTACATTCAGATGCCGTTTGCAGAATCTTACCACTGGCAGCTGTCATTCCCTGGCTGAAGCTATACAAGCGCCATGTGCTTACAATACAATTATTTTTTTTAAATGATAAAAGGTGGGAAAAATGTTTTTCGGTTTTGGCTTGACACATTCTGCTGCAGGAGGTGCTTTGCAGTGCCATTCATTTCAATGGCACCCCAAACGCGCCTCCCACCCACAGTGTGATCGCCCGCACTGGAACGCACAGTACCGCAATGCCGTGTGTTTCAGTGCAGTGCAATTACAAAAAATTGTGCCTGCAGTTTTATTCTGAAGTAAACTTTATGTGTGTAACACTGCATTTGTGTATTTTTATTTTAAATTAAGGATGGTATTTGTTTATGTTTTTTTATCCGATTAATCGAAAAAATAATCGGCCAACTAATCTATTATGAAAATAATCTTTGGTTGCAACTCTAGATATTATTGCATATTATTTACGCTTTCCTGAAAGAAATGTCTTTCCTCTAAACTGACTTTTCCTCTGGAATGCAAAGATGGTGGGGAATTAATGAGGATTTAAAAAGATTGACAATACCTTTTGAAATCACCTTATATGGGATTGTAGTGGTTGGGTTTAATGAACTGACAAGCTCTGTTCTTATGAATGTTGGTTTAGCCATCAAGATGTCTACCTATATTCTACATGGGTGAAACACGCTTCAAAAATTACATTGGTGGATATTTCAAACCGTGCTTCGCTTTCTGAAATTCACGACCCAATGAAACAAAAACTAATATTACATTGCGTTTCCTTCCCGAACCTCAATATTTCATAAACATTTTACAGAGCCTGTTAGTGGCCAACAGAGCTTATAATTTGAAACAATAAAAGGAAACTATGTAGTTAGTGTTATGAGACATAGGTTTTATGTGTGTAACATGATGTCCCCATTGGATGAGGTGGAGGTTAAAACAATAATGTTTAAAAAAATCTTATGTTTTAATAAAAAGCATACATTACCGATGTCTGCTATTTGTGTCACTGAGTGCATATGAAGGGTCTCGTATTTGGTTACAATTGTAATTCAATGGAAATCTGGTGACTGTAGACCAATAGGAATACAATTTAAAGGAAAAATATAATAAAACTGGGAAGCTTGCTAAGATTTTTTTTTAGCGCTGTAGGTCCTAGTAACAGAAATGTATTCCTTTATTAGTGGATCTGCCTTGTCACCAAAAGACAGTAAGTTTGAATAAAGATGTAATCAACACACCAGCAGGACAGAATGTAAGTCATGTCTACTCTGAGCCCGATGAAGGGGACCCTGTGAGGCCCCGAAAGCGCTTGATATTTTGAGTGACATCTATCAATAAATGGATTTGCACGGACTTAAATTCTGTGTTGCTGGTGTGCTGATGACATCTTTATTCAAAGTTGTACTGTGTGCGGCGCCATCCGCAGTCATTTCTAGCACCTGTCAACACTTTGGGATTTCTGGTAAGGAGTACTACAAGATCTATGGACAAAAGACAGGAAGAGCACAATAGGAGAAGCTCCTCCGCTTCTTGTCCTTAAAGAGGACTTCCACTCAAGCCGGTAAGTGCACAGTTAAAATACCATATACTCTTGCAAAAATGTCTGATATTCTGCTCAGTTCCTCTTGTGATTTACACTTTTCTGTTGCTTACTGCGTTATCTCCCCGCCTCACTCCGCCCAATGGGTTATGTCTCTTCTCTGCCTCCCTTCTCTAAATACCTCCCCTCCAGGGCCTGTACCATATTAGTGACAACATTTTGCAATGGAACAGAATATGCTTTGCTAAACATAGCCTGTGGATAAACAAAATAATACAAGAAGTCAATTTAAAAAAAGAGTCGGAGGTCCTCAATGATGCAGCCAGTGGAGCTGGCATGGAGTTAGTGCTGCTCTGAGCATCATTACACTGCAATCACAGTATGTCCTCGGTCTTGCAAGTTGACTGATGCTGGGTATCATTTAGCCCAAAAGACTGAGGACACCTAGTGGCAGAATTCAAATATTGCAGGTGACAGGAAGTAGCCTTAACTATTTTTATTCTTTTAAAGCTCTGATGGGGACCTATTAAAAAATGATCCCCCAAAATTTTAATTAGCAGTACCAAATTAAATATGAATAACTATGACCCTTCTTACATTCACCTTAGCTCGCAGACAGAACAAAGTAGACTATATCAGTCTATTTAACTTACCAGTAGGACTAGCTGTCCACATTACACTAACAGCCACCTGGTCGTTGCAAGCGTATTGGCTGATGGTTATGTTCTGCATGTCCGCTATAAGGTGCTTCCCGCCAAAATTGACTGTACAGTCTGTTGATAGAGAAGGAGAAATGGGTATAAAGGCCGTTTTATCTATTCTATACACATTTCTTACACTGCAATATAAACTAAATCCTGCAAACAGGCCATGTCATCATAAAACAGATGACAGAACAAAGTAAATAAACTATTCATCTATCCAGTCCATCCATCTGTCTGTACTTAACCATCCACCTGTCTGTTTGTCCGGGTCTACATTTTGCATGTTCGGTAAGGATGGCTTAAATATCAGAAAAATGAAAAAGGGACAGAGAAAAGCTACAATAACTTTCAAAGGTATTGTACAAAAGGTGATGAAAAAAAAAACATTTTTTAGAGTTGTCACCACAACAGGACACATGGAAAAGCAAACATGTAAAAGTTTGAATGGCGCATCAAGCATTTCTTTTAATCTTAGATAAATGTAATTGAATGTATACTTTTAGAAACTACAACTAGGGGTCTATTTATTAGGGATGCACCGATATATAGGCCGAAAATGGCACTTTTAGCATAATGCCGAAAGTGCACATTTTCTGTCCGATACAGCGGTGCATCCATCTTTCTCTCCTCCCCGCTGGGCGCTGCTCTGTGTCCCAGCGGGAGGAGAGAAACTGTCACGTACGGCCGAGCGCTGCGGGAGGAGAGTGATGTGAGCGGCCGGCGTCTCTCCTCCACACCCCGCTCAGCCTTCTGTCACAGATCGGCAGAGCGGTGTGTGGGCGGAGACAGCCAGCACTGTCATAAGAGGCTGAGCTCTCCTCCTGCACCGCACCGCTCACTCAGCCTCCTGTGACAGCGTGTCAGAGAGGAGAGCGAGAGCAAACACTTAGCGATCAGTGTTCGTTGAGTGTTTGTACATAATTGAGTACAGAATATGGTTACAATATCCTCAATTATGAATGAATGGGAAGTGATCTACGCCACCTCCTGTTTATTCATGATTGTGGTTATAGTAAAACACACTATGCACTCATGTTATGAATGAACAGGAACACTCACAGAGGATTCCTGTTCACTTATAACTGGGGATGCAGAAAAAGAGACTGAGAACTCTGTATTCTCAAGCTCTCTTTCTATTTTAATAAGGGAAATATCAGGAGTCTGTTTAGACCCCCAATATTTCCCCGCAGCCCCTAAAAGTAAAGTAAAAAATAAAAATATTTCATAAAAATGAATAAAAATAAATATTAAAAAATGTATAAAAAATAAATAAAAATAAAATGTTTTTTTTTTTAAAAAGTTCAAATAAAAAACATTTTGGTTTCAGTCTGACATTTTTTTTTATTTCGGTTTTGAAATTTTCATTTCGGTGCACCTCTACTATTTATAAATGTTTTTGCACAAGATCCACACAGCTTTCAACTAAGATTCTAACATTTTCCTAATGGGATTCAATTTAGAAAATGTATAAATCCTGGGGGAAAGTTGTGTGAATCTTGTATGAAAACATTTGTAAACAGACCCAATTAAGTGTATGCATGGCAAAAGTGTTTTTTCTTTTAATTTGTGGATAGAGTAGGGAAGGGTCAGGACCCCTGTTAGGCCAATAAATCAGTTATTCCCTTTTCTCTGATTATATGTACTAACTGGAGTGATCGTCTATGGCAGGAGTAGGAAAACTTCAGCCCTCCAGATGTTGAACTAAAAATCCCATTAGGCATTGCATCTGGAAGACCAGAGTTTACCTACCCCTGCTATATTGCCTGTATGGCACTTCTCACATTTATAACATGCAATATTTTGTAATGACACATTAAACTTACTGTCATATCGGAATGTGATATTGGGTTGTCCGTTGATTTTGTTAAAGAGAGAGAATCCCTAGAAAAATAAAGGAATGAATATTAGTGACAGCCATTTCCAATGTCATAGCATGTAAACAGCACACAAACAGGCTTAGCACACAAGATAGCACATAAAAGTAATATGAGAGTGCAGCATTCCATGACAATCAACAAGACTTCACAGAAAAAGGAATATTAATTCAGATTAGCTGCTATGGGTTACTGTTATAGTACCGATTTCCACCTTGTACATCTGTTCTTTATTCATACAGGGCCTTTAACTGTGTCTCATAGTAGAATAGTCTCAGTTGGTGTTGCTCATATCAATCAATCTTTCTTTCTTTCTTGTTCTTATTTTAAATAGGAAGAAGCAATGGACCAATCTGTCCTGTAGCTACAGGCCATTAGAATGTGAAAGCTTTTTTTTAAGACAAACCAATAAATTTACCTTAGGCAGCAACTTCCATTCAGTGTCTATACAGGGCATCACAAAAAATCTGGTTCCAGAGGCATCAAATTATTAGGAACCATCATTTCCATTCCTATTATGCAGGACAGGACAAATCCCAGGAGCCAGGTCAGCAATGTGCCTTAAAAATGACACCTGGCGTCCAACTTCTGAGGTTCTCTCTAGTTATCGTCAATGGAGCTAACTCCTAAAAAAATCCTGCTGGCTCCTGGATCGGACAGACTGGCTCCTGAATTCCCAATATGATGCAGCTGGTGCAGGAACTTCATGTTGATGACACAGACAGGTGTATGAATATTATGAGTGGTTCTTACAACAGTGTTTTCCGGTGATGAAGCCTCACTTGATCGCAATGATAGTGTCAACCGGTGCAATGTGAGTAGCTGCTCTGAAAGCAACCAAACTGAAGCAATCATTGATCAGTTCAGCTATATTAAAGTGCTAGTAAACCGCCACCACAAAAGGAAGATTGTGGGCCCCCAGGAGGTGCTTGCCATTTTGTGCTAGTGTGCAAAGCATATTAGCACGGGGCTGGACAAATCGCAGGAGCCAGGTAGCCAATGCACCTTAACAATTACAGCTGGCTACCAACCTTTGAGGTTTCCTCTAGTTGCTGTCAATGGAGTTGGCTCCTACAAAAATCCTGCTGGCTCCTGTATTGGACAAACTGGCTCCTGAATTCCATAATGATTTCTCCAACCCTGTATTAGCACATTATTAGCAGACTTACCTTGCAAGCAATCCACTCCAGCGATGTAATGTCAGCACTCCCATCTTCTTCTGGCCTGCTTCTGAGTTCAGCATCTTTGGCCTCTTCATTGCATATGGGAGTTACTTAATCTCAGCACTCTTTGAGGGAACGGGCTGAGAGAACTAGTTCCCTCAAAGAGTCCCATAGAGTCCTCCAAAACCCTATCTGTCAGCCGACTTGACTTCTACTTTAAGAACTGTTCAGCATACTTGTATTAAGCATATACACAGGTGTCCCAAAGTCCAATGGCGTCAATATGAGCATTTACTGTTTTAAAACTTTATATTACATTTTTGCCAATGGAATGGATCCCAACTTTTAGGACACCTTGTATATCACAAACCGTACATGTGACCTACACATCCCGGCTGTGTCCTGTAAAACAAATAACAGACTGCAATGTTTTAGTACCTCATTAGGACAAATAACTGCCGCGTTTGTCAGACACAACCCTCAGAAGTGCTTAGGACTGTTAAAGACAGTATAACAACCCAATTAAAAGAAACTGAAGGGCCTTTGATAACATGAGCCCTTTCATCTCTTCACCCTATTACTTTTTACTTACACAGAACTATCTTATTTTGCAAATGCAAGAGTATTGGCTAGGCCACGACATGCTCCTCGTTTCCTAATCATTATAGATCTTGTTTAATGAAATTCACACACAAAGAAAACACAAATGGTTTGTGTGTATAAAACAGGTTAACAAATTTACCAATCCCTATCTATCTATCTATCTATCTATCTATCTATCTATCTATCTATCTATCTATCTATCTATCACAAACTCAACACTCTCTTGTAATCCCTCCACACATATAAAGAATATTGTACTGTCAAACAATTCTGATTGATAAAAGTGAATCAGCGGTGGACAAATGACAGCAGTCTAATCTAGTATCCAGGGGACACTATTTATGACCTGGGGACACATGCTTTTAGTATCAACATTTGGCCTTTAAGAGCTTAAATTATATAACTGTAGGTCACAAATGCCCAGTAAAGTTTGCAACTCCCATCTCCCAAATGGGCAAATTCTGTAAAAAGTTGGAACTGAAAGCATCCTTGTCACTCTCCAAGTATAACTCCATCATAGTAATGGGACCAAATGGGATGTGCTGCCATAAGCAAAACACACATTTCCTTTATATAAAGCTTTACAAACAGTAAAACAGTCATTTTCCAGTTAAAATGTATTTTAAGGGAAAGTCCAGTTTTTGAAACAAAAAATAATGTACTTCATACGAGAAAAAATTTACATTTATTATTTTTTTGCATTGGAGCTGCTAAAACATTGACACCGCCAACAGTGGATTGCAAGTGCAATGCTCTGGCTCCTGCAGACTCTCCCTCCCATCCATACTGAGGTACAGATATTCAGTAACATGGACAGGAAGAAGAATGAATGGACTACAGAACAGAACGCATTTTATTCTGTAAAAAAAATAAAATACAAGGCTTTTTGTTAATGGACATGGAGCAAGAGGTGGAGGTCCAACTGGAGCCCTTCACTGCCGTAGGCATTGCTGTCATCCTGGAAGCAACCAGAAATTCAATGCCCTGTGTAGCTGACCGGCTGCTAGTTCCGTTCAGCCAAGAATTTTTCAAACGGTTCCTTCGATCAGCTGATTGATGGATGCCGGGCAGAAGGGTGCCGACAGCAGCACCCATGCAGTGGCCGTAATTCAAAGTGTGTATACCCAGCTTAGGCAGCAGCCATCCGCACACGGTATACATATATACAGGGCTATCATAAGCTGGGTATATGCGGTTTAAGTCTTGCTTGGTCAACATTTGTTCAACTTTCTAAAAGTTAATGAGGTCAAATCAACAATCGTTTTTGACCCGAGTGATGAAAAAAATCAAAGAAGCGGGATCGAAAGTTTTTCTCAAATGAACAAAATTCAAACAGTGAAGACGATTTTCATTCGAGAAACTCCATTAATTTCCAAAATTGATTGTTAAAAATCAAACAAAACTTTGAACGACATTTGTCATGTCTCTGATGTCATTACCAAATGAGCCTTCATATGAAATTCTGTATACCCAACTTTACTTAGCTAGTGCAGTATCTAAAATACTTTTTTCCTGGAGTTCAACTTTAAAGTTAAAGAAAAAGGTGAGTCCACAACTGCACACAAAGGTCCCAACCTCCTATTATTTGCAGGGTATACATAACAATGGTCTTCACTGCTACCTCTATTTAGAAGGCTCATAAAAGATTAGGTGCCTGGGGCAAACAGTGAGCAACCATCTGTTTAACTAAATAACAGGAACTTCCTCTCTAATTCACAAGCATACAACAGCCTAGGAGTGTCCCCGTCTTTATGGAGATCTGAACACAGCTGCCTAAACTGTATTGGTGTCAGCACCGCCCCAGAACCTGTCATTTTACTACCATTAAAATAATTAGAATTGCTGCTTCCTTAATATTAATGTGCATTGTACTTAGCTTGGTGGGCACATCTGTGGAAATCTTTTACATAGCACTGACAACAATACACAGTCCTCACCATATAGTAACAAAATTATAGGCTGATAGTGGGAAACATGAAGGCTTCTACTGCTGACTTTACATTCTGCAAGTGCTAGTTGAATGGCTTTCAATCAGAACCTGTGGCTTAAGAACTTTTAGTCACTAAACTGGAACAAGTATGCAGTTAAGACCTTCTGATTTTTCTGGTGTACATACTGGTTTTGGGCCAATGAAGATAGAAGGTCACCATGGCAGCCAGGCATGGAGCATCCGTAGAAAGAAAATGGCAATGGTGCTTCCCATATCTTCCTGCTACCGCTGACTTCTCATTCTGCAAAAACTAGTTGACTGGCTGTCAATCAAAACCTGCGGCTTTAGCACTTTGGGTCACTTAGCTAGAACAAGTATGCAAATAAGGAATTTTTTACTTTTATAGTGTGCATACCGGCTTTGGGCCAATGGTCAAGAAAGCATTGAAGCGGGTCAGCATGACAGCCTATCATTAAGCATCCTCAGAAAGAGATCAGCAATGCTGGTCCCCATATCTCCCTAACGAATAGACATGTGTGATTGATTTCGTTCCATATCAAAATTCGGACAAATTTTCAGAAATTCGGACATATGGTCACACTCGAATTTCCGATTCCCAATGCATCCTAATGTGTCCGAATCCGAATTTCAGTTTCCGAATTTCGGATCCCGTATGAAACTAAACTTCATTGGACATGTGACTTTTTTGGCCAATCAGATGTGGTTTTCGGTTTAATGCATGCGAATAGGTCTGAACACGAATTTTCGTTATGGCAACATGGGAGCCATATACAGTATATACAATACTAAAGCTGGGGCTCCTAGACCCGAATGGCATTCGGGATCCGAATTGCATTCGGAAGCTCCCAAATGCCATTTGGGTCTGGGAGCCTCAGCTTTAGCAATATATGTATATGGCTCCCAAACCCGAATGGCATTCGGGAGCTCCCGAATGCAATTCAGAAATTCGGAGCCCAAATGCCATTCGGCTCTGGGAGCCATATACATATATTGCTAAAGCTGAGGCTCCCAGACCCGAATGGTATTCGGGAGCTCCCGAATGCAATTCAGAAATTCGGGTCCCGAACGCCATTTGGGTCTAGGAGATTCAGCTTTACTATTAATATCTGTATATGGTTTTCTGTTTTACTCACAACGAATATTCGTATACTCATCCGAAACTAACGAAAATTCGGATATCGTCTGAAATTCAAACCGAATTATATTTTGGATCCGAATCTCAAATTACGAAATTTCCGAAACAAATTTTCCACAGCTTACATGTCTACTAAGGAAATGTTTGCTTTAAAGTGCATTTAGGTGGAAAGTGGCTACAAAATGACTGCAGAAGATCAGCAGCGTGAGATGCAACACAGGATGAAAAAAGGTGAAAACAAGTACTTATTTTAAACCAAAAAGGCAATTGTTTATTTATTTGGTTGTTACTCTAGAAAAATAAATGCCATTCAGATATGGTTCACATCTTTTTTAATGAACTCAACTCAAAATGACACTGTTTGATTGGAGTCCTTCCAGAGAGGCAGACATGAGGTCAACTGAAACATCCCTCATAACCCTACAATTGCTTTATTTTATTAAATTGCAGATAAATATCAACTGGAACGTCCAATGTCAGCAAGCTGAATTTACACAATCTCTCTTTGAGCGCCGGCAATGAGCGCATGTTAAATGATGTTAGAAAAGAAACAGGGCGCTATCTTTGCTTACACAGGTCACTGTAGATTGTGATAAGAGCAGAAGTGGAGCCAGGATTTCCACTTCTAGATCAGAACCACTCAGTTAATTCACTCCAATATAAAGATTACACAGAAATATACTTTATCTGATTTTCCAGAACAAATGCAGCAATTCCCCTGCTGACCTTCCCGGAAAATGCTCGGAAACCTACAGAAATGTATGCATTTTAGAATACAACACCGGAAAAATCTATCTGGAATTTTCAGAGAATTTCCATTAACATTTTTTTTGCCTAACTATTTTGTTAACCTACATTAATGGAAATATTCTTTGCAATATGGAGGGCACTTCCTCTGCATAGGAGCGCCAGTTTTGTGTTTTTACAAAGTCACTGTAGGGCAGGGGTAGCCAAACTTCAGCCCTTCAGCTGTGGAGAGACTGCAAATCCCATCATGCATCTGCCTCCAGAAATCATGCCTGTGGCTGGCCATATGCTGTTATATTTTTTTCGTTCAGCTTGCGATGAACGAATATAATGTTGTGTCCTTTGTATTATAATAGTGGCTGGTGAGCTGTCAAAATACTTGAATAATGACGGAAGCTGATCGGCTGCCGTCACTGTGCACCCAAAGATTTTTTTATCCGGTTCCTTCGATTTTTCTGATCGAAGGATGCCAGACATAAGGGTGCCGACAGGGGCACCCACGGTGTGAATTTCGGCCGGTTGTTGATGAAAATTCGCACAGTGGTTGCCCTTCGGCACCCTTCCGTCCGGCATCCTTTGCACAGTGTATGGCCAGCTTGACAATGCCTAATGTGAACGAAAGTTTTTACTGAAATGGTAAAGGCCCAAAATTCAGGTTC